TCCCTCTGTATTTAAAATGGCGGAAAGTTTTGAAAATTTAGATACTATTTTACGTGACTGGGGAAAGATAGGGTACAAAAACGTCTTGTCGAGGCATTGAACAGGTACGAGAGGCTAGAAGAAGAAAGAAAAAGCCGTTTGTTTTCCAGAAAATGACTCAGAAAAAGTATTCAAGCAGTCTCAGTCGGCAGTCGAGCTAGACTAAACCAAACACAAAATTGGTCTTGAAATTAGTTTAGGTAAGAAGCCATTGCTTTGTCTCCAATTTAACAAAACCAATAAGCAAAATGTTTATGTCATTATTTTATTTACAAAATTCAACTATTTTCAGTCTCAAAATGATTGTTGACACAGTTTGATTGCAGGAATTAAACATAAAAACATCATTAGTTTAAATAAACACATAAGCTTAAGTTTAACCTTGTTTTCCGACGCGAATGTTCCAGTCCGTTTCAGGGCACAGAAGCGAGAAAAGTAGAGCTCACTACAGCTCACGGCCAACTGTATCCCAGCTATAAGGTGTCTCCGACAATATATCAAACTGATTTGAGAATTACCAATCACAGAGGACATAAATTTCCACCGTCTCTAACGCTCGTTTCATCCAAAACTCGAATCGAATGGCGTCCAGTGTTGACCGTAACCGCAAGTTTTCCAATCGTATTTTATCAACTCCTGCAATATTCAAGACAAGATCCAAACTCTTCGGCTCACAGGGCTGCTCTGATGACAAAAACTGACTGGACATTTCAGCATTTTCTTTAAGACTTGTAGATTTCGCAGTTCAATTCTGCTTTCGCTGTAAGTTTTCAATCTTGGACTCAAGCTTGACAGTGGCCTGATTTTCCTGGACCATTCGTAATTCTTTGCCACGCATAGCAACCAATGAGATTGCTTCATTTTTTATAGACAATAGATTAGGTGAAATGGCTTTTTTTCCTGTTCGCCAAAGTGGGAAAAGGCCGGCTTTTGAGTTATGTTGAAAGATTTTAAAATAAAAAAGCTCTTTCTGTTGTTTCTTTATAATATAAAACAAATAGATTCCGTCTTGCCGTGCGTCTGTTCAGTAATAGATCACAGAAGACGTCAAAATGTAATAAGAACATCAGTGACACCCTCGGCTCGTGTGCCACTTATTTGTTCTTACCACATTTTGACGTCATCTGTAATCTATTACTGAACAGACGCACAGCAACTGGAATCTATTTGTTAAATAAAGTTACTCACTTGTAAACACCCTTTAACTGAAAATGGATACTGAGTATCCGAAACATGTCTTACAAATTTAAACGGTGTGTCGTCTTTTTTAATTGTAAATCGTAATTATAATGGTCATGCACTTTCCTATATAAGCACTAAGCTTAGCTAGTCTACAGGCATGCCACTGAAACAACGGAAAAAATATTTCAAATAAACGTAACATAGTTAGAAATCCCAACTGGCAGGAGGCAGAACAATTGGTTATTCACAAAGCGTGTCGCCCATAAAAAAGATCACACTTGTTGAAAATATGGCACACTTACTGAAATTCAAAACAAAATAGAATGTCTGACAAAATGTTTCCGTCTGAGGCGAAATTTTCTCCCTGAAGGAAATTATTTAGCCATAATCTTTGCAGTCCGTGAATTTAGTAACTAAATGAGCTCGTCACGAGTCTCTCTGTAGCTCAGAGGTTCATCCGGCCAGGAGGTCATGGGTTCGACTCCAATCGGAGACTTAACATGTTCGCCAGGTCAGTTTCTTTATCTTCAATGGGGACTAGGAGTCAAGATAAATTCAAAACCTCGTTTTTATGTCAGTCTTTATTATTAAATAACACCTGCCTATGTATTTCTACATGATAAAAAAGGGGGAAGCTGAGGGAGAGCAATAACTGTTGTGTAAAGAAAATCAATAATTTCTCTTCTCTGTGGACTTAG